TTCGAGATATTAGCTGATGTAAGAAGGGCTATATAAAATAAAATTGATTGATTGATTGAAAAGGTCAAGGGGTCTGAATACTTTCCGAAGGCACTGTATATACTGGATTCTTGTCATAGCTAAGATACTGTATCTACTGCTATACTGTATTATTCTTAGTATATCTTTACGGTGTATATACGCATAGATTGCATTTGGATTACTGATAGTTTTGTTGGGGGTTGTTAATAGGATTCATTGACATGTGTTTCATTTTTTTATATTTGTATACTTTTGTTTGACATTTTACTGCACTGTTAGGAGCTAGTAACACAAGCATTTAGCTGCACCCGCTGTAACATCTGCTAAACTGTGTACGCGACCAATAAACTTTTATTTGATTTTGAATATGGAGGAACGGTAGGATATTCATGCAAGCTTTTGTTCCAGCCCAGCGCTAACACCTGCTTCATGATCATTGAATACCTTGACTACATCAAAAGCTTGCACACAGTATGGGCCTGTAATCAAGTTTTTTATGGCTCCCCCTCAACCTCAAACCCGATGCACTGATTTGCCAGGAAAAGTCAATAAAGGGAGAGAAGCAAGGAAAGGGAAATAAAGAGCGAGTGAACAAAAAAACACAGAGGGCGAGAAGTGGAAGCAGCGTAAAGACTTGAGTGACTCCCAGCTGTGCATCGGTAAGGGCCTCTCTCTCTCCTCCCTCTCTCTCACTCAGAAGATTAAAGAGTCCACATAAAGGAGAGAGAAGAGTCCACCTCTAAGCCAGTGTGAAGGGGAAACTTCCCCCAGTACTAAAGTTGCTCCAGCTCTTTGGTTGAAAGAAAGCGTGCCGGAGCTCAAATCGGCTTTCAGAAATGAATCCCTGTATTATGGCTGGGGCTGGGCATAAACAAACGGGACAGTGAGGGGACCTGGGAGTGTGCATGTGTGTATAGTGACACCGGGACAGCGGGGCTATTCTAGGTGAAAGTGTGCACACACACTTGCTCACTGGGGAGGATAGAGACGTTGAGGCTTTGAAGAAAGTGTGTGAATGCTTGCGTAAGAGAGAACGCTAGAGAAAGGTTATAGGGAGAAAAGAGCAAGCACTTCACTTATTCCTAGAACACACTCTTTATTTATTTCACATCTCTTTTACTTCTTTCTTGCGTTAATTGCACAGGTACAGCATATAACAAACACACACAAACACATTGAAGCATTATGACCTGTAATGCTCGGATCTGGCCTTGATGTGATCATAAATCCCTCCTCATTCACTCACTCTTCCTGATGGAAGACACACCATTATCACCAAATCCCCCCCATCCACTGAGAGGTGCTTAAGCAGGGCACAAGTTCAATCCTGCTAAATCACAGCTTTCCATTGAGCTCAGATTAAACTGCATGACCACCATGTGGCTGGGAGCTCCCCTCTCTCTCCTTTTATTAGTTCTCGCTCTGTTTGTCTCTGTCGGACTGTCCTTTAGTCAGTCTGTCTATCTTCACCTTGGATCTATGCTTGTGTAGTAGTTCTCGCTATCTCTACGTATCTATATTGCTTTCTTTTCCTCCCTACACTCATCTCAGTCATTATCTCCATGTTTCATCTCTCCCTTCCACCCTCTCTCCATTCCACCCTCTTTCCCTTCCACCCTCTCTCCCAGTGCCAGAAAACAAGCGCATACCCACCAATCCTCTAATTTTCTCTACTCTATTTTTACCATCAAATTTACTTCCTCATCATTGGTTGATCTGTGTCACATCCTGACAGATAGGGGATTTAAAGAAGGGCCATCCGACTGTGTTTTTGTGCTGAATCCCGCTCAGTGAAACAGCAGTGGAGAATGATGTTCAACTGACATGGATCAAGTGACCATTTAGTGTTAGGCAGAGAGGATATTTGTTTGATTGACAGGAGGGAGTTATGGCTGGGCTTGACACACAAGAGACAATAGAACACTAAGCTGCTGTTTAGAAAGGGGTCATATAGCAGTCTGACACTGCCTCTTGGTGGTGGAATTGTGTATTACTCACATTGCACACACAAAATTATATTTTCTGCATGCCCTGTATGCAATGTATTGAAGTCAAATTAACAACACACAACAAATACCAAACAATCTAAACCCTAACAAAGGGGTGGTGCCAAAAGCCACACAAAGTTATTTGAGTAGTTATTTAAGTATTAATTTAGCAATTGATCTATTATGAACCATCTCGCAACCGAGCCTGAAACATACCTACTATGGCCCAATTTAGATTGCTATTAATTGTGACGTTTCATCAGTTCCTGCTTTTGAGATTAACTAGGGTATTGGTCTTTTTTTTACAAGAGGATATCTGATATTTTGGATTGTCTCTAATCTACGTTTTAACTCCCATTGAGTAACTTAATTTAACAGTGGTTCCCATACATTTAGTTTTGCATTCATTAAATGCATGCATTCTACAAAGAACTGGAGTTGTTTCTTGAGCATCTGTCTCCATTAAAATAAGTGCAGTGCGCTTGACAATGCGTCTCAGATTGAATCCCTGCCACGGTGGAATAAGAGTTATAAAAAGCAGTCTGGCACCCCACACAATCGACCCTACATTTTAATCAAGCTTCTACAAGCCCATATTTCTGTAACTCTGTGGCAGGGCTCATTCTGCTGTGACCAGTGTGACAGCTAGAGTTAATGGAAACATAATCCCCAGCTGAAGCTATAGCTCACTGTCTAATGTACACTTTAAACACCAGAATATAATGCATCTTGTGGAACGTACTCCTGTCAAACTGATACTCAGCAACAAATTGAATTCCAGGGGAACTTGTTGATTTGCCTGGACTCTTTATGAATAATGCACCCTCCAGAAATGAAAATGAGCAGGCTGTCTCAGGGAATCTAAGCAGGCAAACGGTAATGTCTAATTGTCTGTGATTGTCATCATTGCTTCAGTATGCTGTAATGGGAGAACATGAAAAAGACGGGTGTATTACCAGTATGACCCCAGGATCTTCATGGTAGGCAAATCCCCGCCTTATCTTAGCTCATTGGTCACCATAGCAGCACCCACCCGTAGTCTGCGCTCCAGCAGGTATATTTCACTGGTCATTCCCAAAGCCAACACCTCCTTTGGCCGCCATTCCTTCCAGTTCTCTGCTGCCAATGACTGGAACGATTTGCAAAAATCTCTGAAGCTGGAGACTCTTATCTCCCTCACTAACTTTAAGCATCAGTTGTCAGAGCACTTTACCGATCACTGCACCTGTACACAGCCCATCTGAAATTAGCCCACCCAACTACCTCATCCCTATATTGTTATTTATTTTGCTCTTTTACACCCCAGTATCTCTATTTGCACATAATCTCTTGCACATCTAGCATTCCAGTGTTAATACTAATTGTAATTATTTTGCACTATAGCCTATTTATTGCCTTACCTCCATAACTTGCTACATTTGCACACACTGTATATTTTCTGTTGTCTTTTTTATTTTTTACCCCATATGTAACTCTGTGTTGTTGTTTTTATCGCACTGCTTTGCTTTATCTTGGCCAGGTCGCAGTTGTAAATGAGAACTTGTTCTCAACTGGCTTACCTGGTTAAATAAAGGTTAAATAAATAAAAATAAAATCTAGGCCTAGATCTGAAAGACTACAAAGAACCACCCCCACCAACAGCAAGCAGTGTTCCCCAACTTCCATCACACAAATGAAGATATTCACCAGAGAGTTGAAAGAGTTTACTTTAAGAAAAGTGAACAAAATGGCATATTTACAATAAAACAAAGTATTGTCAAATTTCACTAAATAATCTAAAAATGCATGGACCTCAAATACATTTCCTCATCCACACTGTACAGTACAAGTTGAGCTGGCAAAACTGAACCACTAGAGGGCAGCCGACGTGCTATTGATGAGACATAGGCATGCAGTATTGACAATATTCTTCTCACAGGGCACACAAGTAACTTTCAAAAAAGTTATGCTAGACTATTTGAGGGGACATGTAGTAAGGGTTTATTCATTTTGGTCATATTAAAAATGTATTTTATATGGAAGACATTCCCCTACTGCGTGCATTGAGCATCCCTGAAAAATAGCCTCTTCAACAAGTATAGTCTCTCAAACAAACAGTTGGAGTCATGTCCTTGGCATACATTTTTTAAAACATTTAAACTACAACAATACACAGAGCGCTAAGATAACTCTACAATGCAGACTTGACAGCTATTAACATAACTATGTATTAAAAGAGAAATATACAGATATTTAAAAAATGTTGGCCGATTCGTGTACAAAAAAGGTCAGGACTTAAGGTGCAGAGGTCATTCAGATGATTCACACAGTGTTGTGAGACGGTTCTGTGGAGAGAAAAGTGAACATGAGTCATGGTAATGGCTACTGTTTACAAGTTTGACAAAGAAATCCACTTCAAAGCTGCTAAATAAACATGCCAAATATGTAAATGCAATCATCATAGATGGATGTGTTCTGAAAGATGATAGGTTTATAATAGATAACGCATTATAATAAACAGCCATACAAGCAAATCACACACCCGTGTGTCCAAATGTGCACTTCACATTTTTATATAACAAAATGCATGCCATTTACAGTTTTGAAAGATGGCATGGCGTTATATTCAGGGTTGTTCTGAATAGAATGAGCCCATATTGTGAAGAGAATATGCCATGAAAAACATACCTGAATTCACTCGACTCCCTTTTGGGCCAACCAAAACTACAATGCATTTCTCTAAAGTGCCTTGTGAAAGCTCAACACTCGCTCTTATTTTGTCACTTAGATAGTCATGTTGGCAAAATAATAAGCTTTACAAACGATACACCCCGATCCAGATTGCGATATGTAATTGGACCGTTTGTGTGCAAATGTAATCTTTACTGTACATAATTTGGAGATTTCTCCATAACCTGTTCCCTTTCAACTGCTATCATGGTTATGCATAACGCGTCCCTTTTTCTTCTCTGTTAGAAGCGTTACAATTTGGCCATATCCATATGTATAATTCTATTTGGTGATTGGTGAAGACCATACCTGAAGCAGACGGATGCTCCTTATGGCGGTCTCGTCCAGCTGTCCCAGGTCCACAGTGTCCATCTGACTGGCCAGCAGCTGAATGCACTGGAATGAAAAACCCTCAGTAGGTCAGCACAGGAAGCTTATCTTAACACACAGGAAATGTGTCAATCAATAATGTCGACAAGTACTTTAAAAAATACATACACACAAAGGTATGTGGACACGCCTTCAAATTAGTGGATTTGGCTATTTCAGCCACACCCGTTGCTGACAGGTGTATAAAATCGAGCACACAGCCATGCAATCTCCATAGACAAACATTGGCAGTAGAATAGCCTTACTGAAGAGCTCAGTGACTTTCAACGTGGCACCGTCATAGGATGCCACCTTTCCAACAAGTAAATTCATCAGAATTCTACCCTGCTAGAGCTGCCCCGGTCAACTGTAAGTGCTGTTATTGTGAAGTGGAAACGTCTAGGAGCAACAACGGCTCAGCCGCGAAGTTGTAGGCCACACAAGCCCACCGAACGGGACCGCCGCCGAGTGCTGAAAGGCGTAAAAATTGTCTGTCCTAGGTTGCAACACTCACTACAGAGTTCCAAACTGCCTCTGGAAGCAACGTCGGCACAAGAACTGTTCGCCGGGAGCTTCATGATATGGGTTTCCATGCCCAAGCAACCGCGCACACAAGCCTAAGATCACCTTGCGGAATGCCAAGCGTCGGCTGGAGTGGTGTAAAGCTCGCCGCCATTGGACTCTGGAGCAGTGGATAAATCACACTTCACCATCTGGCAGTCCGACAGACAAATCTGGGTTTGGCAGATGCCAGGAGAACGCTACCTGCCCAAATGTATAGTGCCAACTGTAAAGATTGGTGGAGGAGGAAACATTATTCCTGGGGCTGTTTTTCACGGTTCAGGCTAGGCACCTTAGTTCCAGTGATGGGAAATCTGAACGCTACAGCATACAATGACATTCTAGACGATTCTGGGCTTTCAACTTTGTGGCAACAGTTTGGGGAAGGCCCTTTCCTATTTCAGCATAACAATGTAGCACAAAACAAGGTCCATACAGAAATGGTTTGTCAAGATCGGTGTGGAAGAACTTGAATGGCCTGCACAGAGCCCTGACCTCAACTCCATCGAACACCTTTTGGATGAATTGGAAAGCCGACTGCGAGCCAGGCCTAATCGCCCAACATCAGTACCCAACCTCACTAATGCTCGTGGCTGAATGGAAGCAAGTCCCCGCAGCAAAGTTTCAACATCTAGTGGAAAGCCTTCCCAGAAGAGTGGAGGCCGTTATAGCAGCAAAGGGGGGACCAACTCCATATTAATGCCCATGATTTTGGAATGAGATGTTCGACAAGCAGGCGTCAACATACACTACATTACCACAAGTATCTGTGACCAACAGATGCATATCTGTATATAGTCATGTGAAATCCATAGATCAGGGCCTAATGAATTTATTTCAATTGACTGTTTTCCTCATATGAACTGTAACTCAGTAAACCTTTGAAATTGTGGCATGTTGCGTGAATTTTTTTGTTCAATAGGAGACTTTTTTGACAAACAAAAACACAGACAAAAACAATAGACAACTCACATTTACATACATTTCCACAAACATTAATGACATCACACTTGTTCAGACACACATGTTCACACTGTATCCACACCCAATGTTGCTAATGCATGTACAACTCTCCCCCATATGATTTCAAATTGGGTTATATTGTTTGTCTGTAGCCAGATGTTTTTCAATATTTAAATAATAAAGCATTTGATTCTATGAGGTTAATAAAGCATTGATCCTTTATTTTATAAGGTTGCAGCCCCTATCATCGCCGGGCCTGTCTATCCTCTCTGGAGAGGTTCCCAGTGCTTGGAAGGCAGCCACAGTGCATCCTTTATTTAAAAGAGGGAGAGCGAGCTGATCCTAACTGTTATAGGCCAATTTTGATCTTGCCTTGTTTATCAAAAGTGTAGGATAAACTGGTCAATAATCAACTGACTGGCTTTCTTGAGGTCTATAGTATTCTCTGGTATGCAATCTGGTTTCCACTCAGGTTATGGATGCGTCACTGCAACCTTAAAGGTCCTAAATGATGTCACCATTGCCCTTGATTCTAAGCAATGATGTGCTGCAATTTTTATTGACTTGGCCAAAGCTTTTGATACAGTAAACCATTCCATTCTTGTGGGTCGGCTAAGGAGTATTGGTGTCTCTGAGGGGGTCTTTGGCCTGTTTGCTAACTACCCGTCTCAAAAAGCGCAGTGTGTAAAGTCAACATCTGCTGTCTAAGCCACTGCCTGTCACCAAGGGAGTAACCCAAGGCTCGATCCTAGGCCCCTCGCTCTTCTCAATTTATCATCATCAACATAGCTCAGGCAGTAGGAAGCTCGCTCATCCATTTATATGCAGATGACGGTCTTATACTCAGCTGGCCCCTCCCCGGATTTTGTGTTAAACACTCTACATCAAAGCATTCTTAGTGTCCAACAAGCTTTCTCTGCCCTTTACCTCGTAATCGCTCCTCTTTCACCCACGCTACAAACTAACCCTGATTCAGATGACTATCCTGCCCATGCTAGATTACGGAGACGTAATTTATAAATCGGCAGGTAAGGGGGCTAGATGTTCTTAACCATTCAGCCATCAGATTTCCCACCAATGCTCTTTATAGAACACATCACTACACGCTATACTCTCTGTAAACTGTCCAGCTCTGTATAGCCGACGCAAGACCCAATGGTCTGATGCTTATTTATAAAACCCTCTTAGGCCTCACTCCCCCTTATCTGAGATACCTATTGCAAGCCTCATCTTCCACATACAACACCCATTCTGCCAGTCACATTCTGTTCAAGGTCCCCAAAGAACACACATCCCTGGGTCGCTCCTCTTTTCAGTTCGCTGCAGCTAGCGACTGGAACGAGCTGCAAAAAAACTCACTCGACAGTTTTATCTCCATCTCTACAATCAAAGACTCAATCATGGACACTCTTCAAATCAAATGTTATTGGTCACATACACAAGTTTAGCAGATGTTATTGCGGGTGTAGCGAAGTGCTTGTGTTCCTAGCTCCAACAGTGCAGTAGTATCTAACAATTCACACAAATCTAATAGTTTAAGAATGGAACTAAGAAATATATAAATATTAGGACGAGCAATGTCGGAGTGCCATTGACTAAAATACAGTAGAATATAATACAGTATATACATATGAGATGAGTAAAGCAGTATGTAAACATTATTAAAAGTGAATAGTGTTCCATTATTAAAGTGGCCAGTGATTCCATGCCTATGTATATAGGGCAGCAACCTCTAAGGTGTGGGGTTGAGTAACAGGGTGGTAGCCAGCTAGTGATGGCTATTTAACAGTCTGATGGCCTTGAGATAGAAGCTGTTTTTCAGTCTCTCGGTCCCAGCTTTGATGCACCTGTACTGACCTCGCCTTCTGGATGACAGCGGGGTGAACAGGCCGTGGCTCGGGTGGTTGATGTCCTTGATGATCTTTTTGGCCTTCCTGTGACATCGGGTGCTGTAGGTGTCCTGGAGGGCAGGCAGTGTGCCCCCGGTGATGCGTTCGGCAGACTGCACCACCCTCTGGAGAGCCCTGCGGTTGCGTGCGGTGCAGTTGCCGTACCAGGCGGTGATACAGCCCGACAGGATGCTCTCAATTATGCATCTGTAAAAGTTTGTGAGGATCTTAGGGGCCAAGCCAAATTTCTTCAGCCTCCTGAGGTTGAGGCGGCGCAGTTGTGCCTTCTTCCCCACACTGTCGGTGCGGGTGGACCATTTCAGATTGTCAGTGATGTGTGCTCCATCTGCTGTTTCCTGAAGTCCACGATCAGCTCCTTCATTTTGTTGACGTTATGGTGTTGAAGGCTGAGGTATAGTCAATGAACAACATTCGTACGTAGGTATTCCTCTTGTCCAGATGGGATAGGGCAGTGTGATGGTGATTGTATCGTCTGTGGATCTATTGGGGCGGTAAGCAAATTGAAGTGGGTCTAGGGTGTCAGGTAAGGTAGAGGTGATATGATCCTTAACTAGCCTCTCAAAGCACTTCATGCTGACAGAAGCGAGCGCTATGGGGCGATAGTCATTTAGTTCAGTTACCTTTACTTTCTTGGGTACAGGAACAATGGTTGACTTCTTGAAGCAAGTGTGGACAGCAGACTGGGATAGGGAGAGATTGGTTCGGGTTTTAATAGTCAGTGGGAACAACATCCCCTATACACTTCCTGATGAACTCAGTCACCGTGTCCGTGTTTTAGTCAATGTATACGTCAATGTTATTCTCAGAGGCTACCCGGAACATATCTCAGTCCGCGTGATCAAAGCAATCTTGAAGCATGGATTCCGATTGGTCAGACCAGCGTTGAATAGACCTTAACTCGGGTACTTCCTGTTTGAGATTTCTGACTATAGGAAGGGAGGAGCAAAATGGAGTCGTGATCTGATTTGCCGATGGGAGGGCCTTGTAGGCATCTCAAAAGGGGGAGTAGCAGTGGTCAAGTGTTTTTACAGAGCAAATACTACAGTCAATGTGTTGATAGAACTTCGGTAGCATTTTCCTCAAATTTGCTTTGTTAAAATCCCCAGCTACAATAAATGCGGCATCAGGATATGTGGTTTCCAGTTTGCATAAAGTCCAGTGTAGTTCGAGGGCCGTCGTGGTATCGGCTTGAGGGGGAATATACACGGCTGTGACTATAACCGAAGAGAATTCTCTTGGGAGGTAATACGGTCGGCATTTGATTGTGAGGTATTCTAGGTCAGGTGAACAAAAGGACATGAGTTCCTGTTTGTTATCACAATCACACCATGAGTAGTTAATCATGAAACATACACTACTGCCTTTCTTCTTCCCGGAGAGTTCATTATTCCTGTCTGCGCGATGTACTGAGAATCCAGCTGGCTGTATGGACGGGGATAGTATATCCTGAGAGAGCCATGATTCCGTGAAACAGAGTATGTTACAGTCCCTGATGTGTCTCTGGACACAGATCTTCGCCCTGAGCTTGTCTACTTTATTGTCCAGAGACTGAACATTAGTAAGTAATATACTCGAAAGCGGTGGATGGTGTGCACGCCTCCAGAGTTGGACTACAAGTCCACTCCGAATACCTCTTCTCCGCTGGCGGCGTCTTGGAGCAGCCTCAATTGCCCTGGGGGGTACGAACAAAGGATCCAATTCTGTAAAGTCATATTCCTGGTTGTAATGCTGGTGAGTTACCGCCGCTCTGATATCCAAAAGTTATTTCCGGCTGTATGTAATAGCACCAAAAACTATTCTGGGCTAATAATGTAAGAAATAACACACACAAAAAACGAAATACTGCAAAGTTGCTTAGGAGCTAGAAGCAGAGCTGACGTGTCTGTCAGCGCCATCTTACTGACACTTGTGGCTGCTTCGCATGACGCATTGTCTCTACCTTGTTGCCCTTTGTGCTGTGTTCTGTGCCTAACAATGTTTGTACTGCTGCCATGTTGTGTTACTACCGTGTTGTTGTCATGTTGTGTTGCTGCCATGCTGTGTTACTACCGTGTTGTTGTCATGTGTTGCTGCCATGTTGTGTTACTACCGTGTTGTTGTCATGTTGTGTTGCTGCCATGCTGTGTTATCTTCTTAATTTATTTTCAGTAAAGATTTTTCACAATTCTCAAGCTTCCTGAATTGCAATGGACTTGACACGCGACCCGGAGTTACACTAACATGTAGTACAGTACAATTGTCTGGGTGGGTGGATGCAGTCTAATAAGGTGTGGGGCACCTCTGAAATGTCACCCTATTCCCTATGTAGTGCACTACTTTTGACCAGGGCCCAAAAGTAATGCATTATATAGTGAATAGACGGCTTGGTTGTTTAGCAACAAAACCGACGCATACGCAACTATGGGGTTGCCCTAGATTGTTGACAACATTGAAACTATATTTAGTCTCCCAATATTGATTGAAAACAAACTTCATTTGCACAATGAGCACTTGTCATAGGGCCTTCTGTAGCTCAGTTGGTAGAGCATGGCGCTTGCAACGCCAGGGTTGTGGGTTCGATTCCCACAGGGGGCCAGTATGAAAAATGTATGCACTCACTAACTGTAAGTCGCTCTGGATAAGAGCGTCTGCTAAATGACTAAAATGTAAATGGGTTGCTACCATGCTGTGTTGTCGTCTTAGGTCTCTCTTGTCGTGATGTGTCTCGTCCTACATCTTTAATCCCCCGTCCCCGCAGGAGGCCTTTTGCCTCTTGGTAGGCAGTATTTGCAAATAATAATTTGTTCTTCATTGACTTGCCTAGTTAAATAAAAGTTCAATGTAAAAAAAAAAAATAATACAATTTTCTCTTAACGTTGGAGTATCATTTGACTTCCAGTATTTAAGTAATAGCTTCTTCAATATAAGTGACGAAAATAATATTGTCCAACACATTGGGCATCTCACCACACCCCCATATGTCATGTCTTGAAATATGCAGATAGACGGATTAAAAAGTAACATAAGTTGCATTGTAAATCTTCCGACAGCCAGCTTTCCAACTCTGCCCATAACCTTTGAACTTCATAACACTCCCAGTAGGCATGAATTATTGTTAGTTTTACACTTAAGACTCTGACATTGTGCTGTAGAACTTGTGAATTGTCTCTTGTATAATAAATGCTATACATTAGTTGATACTGGATTAAGCTTACATTTCCGTTAACTGTAATTTTGTTTGTTATGGTCCAACAAATCATTGTATTTGTCACATGTGCTGAAAAATATATAGAAAAGTAACAATAAAATAACGAGGCTATATACAGGAGGTACCGGTACTGAGTCAATGTGCGGGGGTACAGGTTAGTCGAGGTAATTTGTACATGTAGGTAGGGGTAAAGTGACCATGCATAGATAAAGAAAGGGGGAAGGGGGATCAATGTAAATAGTCCGGGTAGCCATTTGATTAACTGTTCAGAAGTCTTATAGCTTGGGGGTAGAAGCTGTTAAGGACCCTTTTGGACCTAGACTTGGCGCTCTGGTACTGCTTGCCGTGCGGTAGCAGAGAGAACAGTCTATGACTTCGGTGACTGGAGTCTTTGACAATATTTTGGGCCTTCCTCTGACACAGCCTAGTATATAGGTCCTGGATGGCAGGAAGCTTGGCCCCAGTGATGTACTGGGCCGTACGCACTACCCTCTGTAGCGCCTTACGGTTGGATGCCGAGCAGTTGCCATACCAGGCGGTGATGCAACCGGTCAGGATGCTCTCGATGGTGCAGCTGTAGAACTTTTTGAAGATCTGGGGACCCATGCCAAATCTTTTCAGTCTCCTGAGGGGGAAAAGGTATTGTCGTGCCCTCTTCATGACGGACTTGGTGTGTTTGGACCATGATAGTTTGTAGGTGATGTGGACACCAAGGAACTTGAAACTCTTGACCCGCTCCAATACAACCCTGTCGATGTGAATAGGGGCGTGATCGGCCCTTCTTTTCCTGTAGTCCACGATCAGCTCCTTTGTCTTGCTCACGTTGTGGGAGAAGTTGTTGTCCTGGCACCACACTGCCAGGTCTCCAACCTCCTCCCTATAGGCTGTCTCCATCTTGTGCCAATATCAGTTATCTTGGTTCCAATAGTTTATTTATTTTTTTCCTAAGAGATTGTCAGTTGGATAGGTTCTCTGCAAGGTTTCTTTCTTTTTCGGACTCAAATAGGATTCACTCAGCATTGCGCTGATGACCAAAAGCTTTCAGGTTGAAATGTCATGATATAAAACTTAAGCATATATTTGAAAATGTCTACATTGGTCCACCCCAAATAGTTTTTTAAAATTCTGTCATGGAAAAATGTTTACACAAGTAACATGACAAACAGTCAGAGGGGTTAGTGAGGGTATTTATCCAAGTCAGATGGTCGCACATACTGTTCAGTAAGGATACATCTAAAAATGGAAGGCTGATGGTAGCCTGCTTACCTCTCCGTTCCCCACAGGGACATTGATGGCGATATCATTACTGCATCCAGAGATGGGGGAGCCATTGACCGAGATGCTGTATACCCTCTCCTTGTGGCGGGGTATCCTCACCGCTGGGGTCTTGGGAAGCCTGGGATATATGATGACAAGTAAAGCAGTGGCCACTAGCACAGTGGTACCCAATGTTGCTTTGGGGGCCTTTGTGTCCCAACTCGAAAATGTTACTAGGGGAAAGATTGGATAGACCGTTCTCTAACCACAACCAGCTTTAGGCAAAACTCGTCATGGACAAGCCGCAGCAAGACTCTGACTCATCTTATTAAAACCTCTTAACATTACCCACTGCCACTTTACCTGGAGTCGAAGCGTGGTGTGATGAGAGGGGTAGGGCCCATGAGGGAACTGTCCAACATGTTCCTGGAAGGAGTGACCAGTGGCTTCCTACTGGAACTGAACACAAGTGGCAAATTAATATCAGCAAGTTATTTGCATACATCCATAAACACACACTAACAATTATCTGCAGATTCCGGCTTAGGAAAGGGTCTTACTTTCTGATGGAGGTGTTCTGCTTGCTGACTGACAGTGCTTTGGCTCTCTTTGACGTTGGAGGTTTCCTAGTTGATTTACCCTGAGAAATAGAGAAGAAATGGGCCATGAGGCAACAGTGCAAGTCTTCATCTTGAGCTAAACATGGCTTACTACTAATAATGATTTGGCCTATTGCTATAATTTGGAATAAAACGCAAAAGCCTAAAAGAAAGGAGGCTATTGAGGACTACATTGAATTTTCTGAAACTAAATGCACGATAATTCTCCCTAACCTTGCCAATAAATACAGCACTAACCTTTTTCCCTGTGGCCGTAATATTGTTCTCCTCATCCTCTGAACTTGTCCTGGCTCCACCCCTTTTCGACGTTGCTGCAGAGGGGAGCAGAGTAACTAACATCCAGTGGGATTCAAAGGAGACACATAAACTGGTATATAACAAAGAGACTTACCTTTTTTAGCAGTCTTGGGAGGAATTGTATGGACTTCAGCCATAATGCTCTCCACTTGGGCAGCCTCTTCTACTTTCTGGAAGTAGACAAATAAGAGTGAAGAGCGAATGTGGGTGGGTGGCACTTCCTGTGGTGTCAAAACCATGGCCAGACTTAAAAACCGACAGTTGATTAAATATTCCATTTTAATTTAGAAAACCCACCTTGGCATCCTCCACTGGTGACACGGGTGACTTTGGTTTCTCTGACCCTGAAGGGATAAAGGAGAAGTGTCCGTTTGTCAGATAAAACAACATATCTCTAACCCACCTTTCATCAAATCAAAAGTAAATCAAATGTTATTTGTCACATGCACCGAATACAACAGGTGTAGCCCTTAACCAACAATGTAGTTAAGAAAAATAAGAGTTAAGAAAATATTAACTAAATAAACCGAAGTAAAAAAATATATAGAAAAGTAACACAATAAAATAACAATAACGAGGCTATATACAGGGGGTACAGGAACAGAGTCAATGTGCGGGTTACAGGTTAGTCGAGGTAATATGTACACGTAGGTAGGGGTAAAGTGACTACGCATAGATAATAAACAGCGAGTAGCAGCAGTGTAAAAACAAAGGGGGGGGGGGGGGGGGGGGTCAATGTAAATAGTCCGGGTAGTCATTTGATTAACTGTTCAGCAGTCTTATGGCTTGGTGTATAAGCTGTTAAGGAGCCTTTTGGACCTAGACTTGGTGCTCTGGTACCGCTTGCTGTGCGGGTAGCAGAGAGAACAGTCTATGAGAGAACAGTCTGGTGCATGCTTCTTCACTTAGCTAGCCAGCTAATTTACCACAATGCTCAAGCCAGTTCATCTGTCTCACTGCCTTTGGCAGCTTGATCACAGCCATGTTGTAGAAGTTGTCTGCATCTTTCAGGAGGCTGTTTGTCCTCTCCTTCAGCCTTTCAACTACGGTTTTCACTGCAAAGACAACGTGTGGTTGGAAAGGTTAGACAAAAGTGAACATTCACAAACGTTTTCTGTTCATATTATGGCTAGCAGTTAACCATACCCTCACTGTCGAAATCTTCGAGAAATGCCTCCAATTTGTCCAACTTGGGGTTTTTACGTTGTTTGGTCGTCCTCTTTGGTCTTCCCATTATGACTCTGTACATTGGTAACGTACAGTAAATTAGTAATAGTGTTTGGGCTAGCAAAGCAGGTAAAAAAATGTTGCTAGTAGTAGCACTAGCTAGCTAATGTTAGCTAGCCCTTTTCCGGAAATGTTGTTAGATAACGTTAGCTAGGCTATGTTAACGTTAGCTATCCATGGCATGCATCGCTAGCTAACGTTACATTACTAGTAGTTAGCCAGATTGAAGCTACTCCGTTTCAAAAGTTACTGTTTCACATCAGATTTCAAATACATAAAATGCAATGTTATTCTAAACATTGAGGTTGTTTGACATATTTAATTTCATTAAGATTTACCTGGCGATGTTTTCTTTCTTTCTTTCCTAGTTAGCGAACTAATTCTGCTGCTCCCTCTCTTTCCAGTTGGCGAAATTTTCAAATTTCCACGCAGACGCAGAAAGTGCAGGAGATCAGCCAATAAGGATACGCTTTTGCTTGGCATCATTTTTGTACCTATAATTTTCAAGAACGTCCATGTTTACGTCACTTGATCGGAAACGTAATAAAATAACGTGAGAAATGTTGACTGGAAAAGTGACAGTAATTTTGGTCATTTTGAAGGGTATCGTCAGTGTTTTTACTTTTGTTTAATGTTTTATTTATTTCGCCTTACAGATCGCTTTGTATCATTATTATTATTCCAGCAAATAATTGTGTTGTCTTTTTTCATCAGCCACATGGGTTTCTCTGTTCTGAGTTGTAATGTGTGCTAGCTAAATGTCGACGCCTGGGTTATTGCCGCTTTACTAAGTATTGAAAAAATGTTTTCAAAGCTAGGAGAACACCCAGCCTCTATTCTGACAGGCCCAGCAGGGAGCGGGAACTATCTCTGTCAGAGTATTTAAAGAAGAACTTATAACAATAGCTCAGTCTGCCCTGCGTGGTTTTTCAGTGGGCCCGTATATACGAACATCATATTTACCATTCAAGTGTTTGCATTAATTAAAATACTAGTATATCTTAAAAGACGTGTGTTCACCTCTTTTGTTCCTTATACCAGATTCGAATTTACGCAACTTGACAACACCCTTGCTACCTGCACCCAGAGATTTGCAGTCGCTCCATCCATCGCTGACATGTTGGAGTGGCTTCAGGATGCGGAGCGTTACTATCCTCAACAGTATCCTTTCTGTGTCACTGTATTACTGTACCATTTCTAAGGATGCACAAGAAATTGTAATTGTGAGCAATTTATTGTGGGTATGCAACTAGACTGCATACTGCTGAAGAAGGCTTGATGCTGAAACGCATGACTTCAGTGTGTGGCATTATAAATATTGAAATCTACCAGTAGGTAAAGGTTGTCCTACTGTTGATTTGTGTGAGAAAGATAGTTTTCCTCATCTACATGCACAGGTTTCTGAGAAGAAAGAATGTGCTGACACACTGAGGGCTGATGACCTCTCCCTTCTGGAAACTGCTCCCAAGAGATGGGAGTCCCTGAAAACAATGAGTGAAGAAGAGAGCATATCAAGTAAACCTATCTATGGTGCTCTATTTTCCATATATACAGTTCCTTCAGAAAGTATTCACCCCCTTTGACTTTTTTCCCATTTTGTTGTTACAAAGTGGGATTAAAATGGATTTAATTGTCCTTTTTGTCAACGATCTACACAAAATTGTCCTGCAGAAAGGGGAGTTTGTCTCCCAGTGTCAGTTGGAAAGCAGACGGAACCAAGTTTTTCCTCTAGGATTTTGCCTGTGCTTAGCTCTATTCCATTTATTCTTATCCTGAAAAACTCCCTAGTCCTTGCCGATGACAAGTATACCCATAACTTGATGCAGCCAGCAACATGCTTGAAAATGCCATATTACAAACAGGATGCATGTTTTTGAATATTTTTATTCTGTACAGGCTTCCTTCTTTTCACTCTGTCGTTTGTTAGTATTGTCGAGTAACTACGATGTTGTTGATCCATCCTCAGTTACAGTTGAAGTCGGAAGTTTACATACACTTAGGTTGGAGTCATTAAAACTCGTTTTTCAACCACTCCACAAATGTCTTGTTAACAAACTATAGTTTTGGCAAGTCGGTTAGCACATCTACTTTGTGCATGACACAAGTAATTTTTCCAACAATTGTTTACAGACAGATTATTTCACTTATAATTCACTGTATCACAATTCCAGTGAGTCAGAAGTTTACATACACTAAGTTGACTGTGCCTTTAAACAGCTTGGAAAATTCCAGAAAAGGATGTCATGGCTTTAGAAGCTTCTGATAGGCTAATTTACATAATTTGAGTCAATTGGAGGTGTACATGTGTATGTATTTCAAGGCCTACCTTAAAACTCAGTGCCTCTTTGCTTGACATCATGGGAAAATCAAAAGAAATCAGCCAAGACCTTGGGATACATTTCCAAACGCCTGAAGGTACTACGTTCATCTGTACAAACAATAGTGCGCAAGTATAAACACCATGGGACCACGCAGCAGTCATACCGCTCAGGAAGTATACGCATTCTGTCTCCTAAAGATGAACGTACTTTGGTGTGAAAAGTGCAAATAAATCCCAGAACAGCAGCAAAGGACCTTGTGAAGATGCTGGAGGAAACGAGTACAAAAGTATCTATATCCACAGTAAAACAAGTCCTATATCGACATAACCTGAAAGGCCGCTCAGCAAGGAAGAAGCCACTGCTCCAAAACCGCCATAAAAAAGCCAGAATACGGTTTGCAACTGCACATGGGGACAAAGATCGTACTTTTTGGAGAAATGTCCTCTGGTCGGATGAAACAAAAATAGAACTGTTTGGCCATAATGACCATCGTTATGTTTGGAGGAAAAAGGGGGGTCCTTGCAAGCCGAAGAACACCATCCCAACCGTGAAGCACGGGGGTGGCAGCATCATGCTGTGGGGGTGCTTTGCTGCAGGAGGGATTGGTGCACTTCACAAAATAGATGGCATCATGAGGAAGGAAAATTATGTGGATATATTGAAGCAACATCTCAAGACATCAGTCAAGAAGTTAAAGCTTGGTTGCAAATGGGTCTTCCAAATGGACAATGACCCCAAGCATACTTCCAAAGTTGTGGCAAAATGGCTTAAGGACAACAAAGTCAAGGTATTGGAGTGGCCATCACAAAGCCCTGACCTCAATCCTATAGAACATTTGTGGGCAGAACTGAAAAGGCGTGTGCGAGCAAGGAGGCCTACAAACCTGACTCCGTTACACCAGCTCTGTCAGGAGGAATGGGCCAAAATTCACCCAACTTATTGTGGGAAGCTTGTGGAAGGCTACCCAAAATGTTTGACCCAAGTTAAACAATTTAAAGGCAATGCTACCAAATACTTATTGAGTGTATATAAACCTCTGACCCACTGGGAATGTGATGAAAGAAATAAAAGCTGAAATAAGTAATTCTCTCTACTATTATTCTGACATTTCACATTCTTAATATAGTAGTGATCCTAACTGACCTAAGACAGGGAATTTTTACTAGGATGAAATGTCAGGAATTGTGAAAAACTAAGTTTAAATGTATTTGGCTAAGTTGTATGCAAACTTATGACTTCAACTGTATATCCTATCACAGCCATTCAATTCTGTAACTGTTTTAAAATCACTATTGGCCTCTTGGTGAAATCCTTGAGTGGTTTCCTTCCACTCCAGCAACTGCGTTAGGAAGGGCGCCTGTATCTTTGTAGTGACTGGGTGTATTGATACAACATCCAAAGTGTAGTTAATAACTGCACCATGCTCAAAGGGATTTTCAGGTGCCCTTCTTTGTGAACCACTGGAAAACCTCCCTGGTCTTTGTGGTTGAATCTGTGCTTGAAATTCACTGCTCGACTGAGGGACCTTACAGATAATTGTATGTGTGGGTACAGAGACGGGGTAGTCATTTAAAAATCATGTTAAAATCTTATTGCACTCAGAGTGAGTCCATGCAACTTATTATGTGACTTGTAAAGCATATTTTTACTCCTCAACTTATTTAGGCTTGCCATAACAAATGGGTTAAATACTTATTGACCCAAGACATTTCAGCTTTTAATTCTTTATTCATTTGTAAACATTTCTTAAAACATAATTCCACTTTGACATTAGGGGGTATTGTGTGACACAATCTCAATTTAATCCATTTTAAATTCAGGCTGTAGCAACAAACGTGGAAAAAGTCAAGGGGTGTGTATACTTTCTGAAGGCACTGTAATTACCCTCACTGAATTTAATAAACTAATGTAGGTATTCTGCATCCTCTTTCAGATACACTGTTTAAAGTGTCCTTTTTCATTGAGTCCTAGTAAAATGAGAACTACAAGATGTTAGCAAGAGGACTACCCGGTGGATGTGATTGTCTTCTTTCAGATGGGCTACAATAAAAATACTCAGTAATGGGTTGAAGAGTAAAGGAATAGACTGGGTTCAGGTTGACTTTGCCCTTGGATGTGTCAGGCTGATAGGAGCAGAGCACTTGACTGTACTGGGTGTGAACAAAGGAGAGACAATGCCCAGACAAACTGAGTAAAATCAACTCATAAATGTTTCTCAGCTGGTAATCACAACAGTTTGAGGTACCGCAAAGGAAAGGTAGTGATGACACTAATTGACACTGTTGCAAATGATGGGGAATAACCTATCACAATGAGGCATCGCCATCTGTGAACTTATAGCACGCTTCAGACAACCACAGTGAATGTGACAGTACGTCTTAATGTTGCAATGGTGTAACATTTGATATAATTTCGCCTGACACGATCACTTCTCTTATCGCCTAATATATTGGCATTCATAACCTTTTTTTAACCAATTCTGATGGTTGTTAAAAGCATAATTTGGACAATATTGCTGTTATATCAACACACTCGTCACTCCCGTTTAAAAACTAATTTGCTTTGGCACGGTTGGCCTCAAGTCACTTGCCAAGAATGTTGCATACAACTTTTGAAAGGTCTTATCATTTTTATCGAACACAATCAAAGTTAACATAAGCCTTAGATTCCTTCAAGCGTCCAATTTAGGCATCTTTTTTATAATGTGATATTGCACTCCAAAGGGATAACTTGAAATAACAATGTATGTAATTCAATAATCAAAATAATGTATTTATTTATTTATTAACCAATTTGTTATAAGTATTTAGTCATATCATGTGAAATAGGCCTCATGTGAAATCATTGTCAAAGGCACAGATACTGTTGCATACAGTGAGGGCGAAAAAGTATTTAGTCAGCCACCAATTGTGCAAGTTCTCCCACTTAAAAAGATGAGAGAGGCCTGTAATTTTAATCATAGGTACACGTCAACTATGACAGACAAATTGAGAAAAAAAAATCCAGAAAATCACATTGTAGGATTTTTAATGAATTTATTTGCAAATTATGGTGGAAAATACGTATTTGGTCACCTACAAACAAGCAAGATTTCTGGC